TTGGACAAGGTATCCAATCCCAAAGACCTATCTGAATAAATGAAATAAGTATATTATATATATTATTTATTTGCTAATAATGAGCATAAATCGCTAAATTATGAAGAAATTAAAATTAAAATTAGAAAAAATGTTGATTTAATGAGAGAAATATTGTATAAAAATAGAATTATTAGCTAAAAAACGTATTAATTTTATGATATTTCAATCACATTAACGAAAATCGCCCATTTTTAATTCAAATGGGCGGGAAAAAAAATTAAATTCCAAAAAAAATTGAATTGGGGAAACGATAGGGACGGGATATGAGAAACCCCATATGTTTGGGAATTTTTCGCATCACTATAGTCGGGTGGTTGCGTATAGAATGTTTTGTGTATGGTGGCGTGAGTAGCACGGTGGTTGCGTGATAGAATGCTTCTGTGTATGTGTGGCGTGAGTTTTATGGGTGGTTGCGTGATAGAATGTTCTGTTGTATGTGTGGCGTGAGTTAGCATCGGTGGGTTGCGTGATAGAATGTTCTGTGTATGTGTGGCGTGAGTTAGCATCGGGTGGTTGCGTGATAGATGCTTCTGTGTATGTGTGGCGTGAGTTAGCATCGGGTGGTTGCGTGATAGAATGCTTCTGTGTATGTGTGGCGTGAGTTAGCATCGGGTGGTTGCGTTGGTGATAGAATGCTTCTGTGTATGTGTGGCGTGAGTTAGCATCGGGTGGTTGCGTGATAGAATGCTTCTGTGTATGTGTGGCGTGAGTTAGCATCGGGTGGTTGCGTGATAGAATGCTTCTGTGTATGTGTGGCGTGAGTTAGCATCGGGTGGTTGCGTGATAGAATGCTTCTGTGTATGTGTGGCGTGAGTTAGCATCGGGTGGTTGCGTGATAGAATGCTTCTGTGTATGTGTGGCGTGAGTTAGCATCGGGTGGGCGTGATAGGCTGTGTTGGCGTTGCTGGGTTGCGTGATAGAATGCTTCTGTGTATGTGTGGCGTGAGTTAGCATCGGGTGGTTGCGTGATAGAATGCTTCTGTGTATGTGTGGCGTGAGTTAGCATCGGGTGGTTGCGTGATAGAATGCTTCTGTGTATGTGTGGCGTGAGTTAGCATCGGGTGGTTGCGTGATAGAATGCTTCTGTGTATGTGTGGCGTGAGTTAGCATCGGGTGGTTGCGTGATAGAATGCTTCTGTGTATGTGTGGCGTGAGTTAGCATCGGGTGGTTGCGTGATAGAATGCTTCTGTGTATGTGTGGCGTGAGTTAGCATCGGGTGGTTGCGTGATAGAATGCTTCTGTCTATGTGTGGCGTGAGTTAGCATCGGGTGGTTGCGTGATAGAATGCTTCTGTGTATGTGTGGCGTGAGTTAGCATCGGGTGGTTGCGTGATAGAATGCTTCTGTGTATGTGTGGCGTGAGTTAGCATCGGGTGGTTGCGTGATAGAATGCTTCTGTGTATGTGTGGCGTGAGTTAGCATCGGGTGGTTGCGTGATAGAATGCTTCTGTGTATGTGTGGCGTGAGTTAGCATCGGGTGGTTGCGTGATAGAATGCTTCTGTGTATGTGTGGCGTGAGTTAGCATCGGTGGTTGCGTGATAGAATGCTTCTGTGTATGTGTGGCGTGAGTTAGCATCGGGTGGTTGCGTGATAGAATGCTTCTGTGTATGTGTGGCGTGAGTTAGCATCGGGTGGTTGCGTGATAGAATGCTTCTGTGTATGTGTGGCGTGAGTTAGCATCGGGTGGTTGCGTGATAGAATGCTTCTGTGTATGTGTGGCGTGAGTTAGCATCGGGTGGTTGCGTGATAGAATGCTTCTGTGTATGTGTGGCGTGAGTTAGCATCGGGTGGTTGCGTGATAGAATGCTTCTGTGTATGTGTGGCGTGAGTTAGCATCGGGTGGTTGCGTGATAGAATGCTTCTGTGTATGTGTGGCGTGAGTTAGCATCGGGTGGTTGCGTGATAGAATGCTTCTGTGTATGTGTGGCGTGAGTTAGCATCGGGTGGTTGCGTGATAGAATGCTTCTGTGTATGTGTGGCGTGAGTTAGCATCGGGTGGTTGCGTGATAGAATGCTTCTGTGTATGTGTGGCGTGAGTTAGCATCGGGTGGTTGCGTGATAGAATGCTTCTGTGTATGTGTGGCGTGAGTTAGCATCGGGTGGTTGCGTGATAGAATGCTTCTGTCTATGTGTGGCGTGAGTTAGCATCGGGTGGTTGCGTGATAGAATGCTTCTGTGTATGTGTGGCGTGAGTTAGCATCGGGTGGTTGCGTGATAGAATGCTTCTGTGTATGTGTGGCGTGAGTTAGCATCGGGTGGTTGCGTGATAGAATGCTTCTGTGTATGTGTGGCGTGAGTTAGCATCGGGTGGTTGCGTGATAGAATGCTTCTGTGTAGTGTGGCGTGAGTTAGCATCGGGTGGTTGCGTGATAGAATGCTTCTGTGTATGTGTGGCGTGAGTTAGCATCGGGTGGTTGCGTGATAGAATGCTTCTGTGTATGTGTGGCGTGAGTTAGCATCGGGTGGTTGCGTGATAGAATGCTTCTGTGTATGTGTGGCGTGAGTTAGCATCGGGTGGTTGCGTGATAGAATGCTTCTGTGTATGTGTGGCGTGAGTTAGCATCGGGTGGTTGCGTGATAGAATGCTTCTGTGTATGTGTGGCGTGAGTTAGCATCGGGTGGTTGCGTGATAGAATGCTTCTGTGTATGTGTGGCGTGAGTTAGCATCGGGTGGTTGCGTGATAGAATGCTTCTGTGTATGTGTGGCGTGAGTTAGCATCGGGTGGTTGCGTGATAGAATGCTTCTGTGTATGTGTGGCGTGAGTTAGCATCGGGTGGTTGCGTGATAGAATGCTTCTGTGTATGTGTGGCGTGAGTTAGCATCGGGTGGTTGCGTGATAGAATGCTTCTGTGTATGTGTGGCGTGAGTTAGCATCGGGTGGTTGCGTGATAGAATGCTTCTGTGTATGTGTGGCGTGAGTTAGCATCGGGTGGTTGCGTGATAGAATGCTTCTGTGTATGTGTGGCGTGAGTTAGCATCGGGTGGTTGCGTGATAGAATGCTTCTGTGTATGTGTGGCGTGAGTTAGCATCGGGTGGTTGCGTGATAGAATGCTTCTGTGTATGTGTGGCGTGAGTTAGCATCGGGTGGTTGCGTGATAGAATGCTTCTGTGTATGTGTGGCGTGAGTTAGCATCGGGTGGTTGCGTGATAGAATGCTTCTGTGTATGTGTGGCGTGAGTTAGCATCGGGTGGTTGCGTGATAGAATGCTTCTGTCTATGTGTGGCGTGAGTTAGCATCGGGTGGTTGCGTGATAGAATGCTTCTGTGTATGTGTGGCGTGAGTTAGCATCGGGTGGTTGCGTGATAGAATGCTTCTGTGTATGTGTGGCGTGAGTTAGCATCGGGTGGTTGCGTGATAGAATGCTTCTGTGTATGTGTGGCGTGAGTTAGCATCGGGTGGTTGCGTGATAGAATGCTTCTGTGTATGTGTGGCGTGAGTTAGCATCGGGTGGTTGCGTGATAGAATGCTTCTGTGTATGTGTGGCGTGAGTTAGCATCGGGTGGTTGCGTGATAGAATGCTTCTGTGTATGTGTGGCGTGAGTTAGCATCGGGTGGTTGCGTGATAGAATGCTTCTGTGTATGTGTGGCGTGAGTTAGCATCGGGTGGTTGCGTGATAGAATGCTTCTGTGTATGTGTGGCGTGAGTTAGCATCGGGTGGTTGCGTGATAGAATGCTTCTGTGTATGTGTGGCGTGAGTTAGCATCGGGTGGTTGCGTGATAGAATGCTTCTGTGTATGTGTGGCGTGAGTTAGCATCGGGTGGTTGCGTGATAGAATGCTTCTGTGTATGTGTGGCGTGAGTTAGCATCGGGTGGTTGCGTGATAGAATGCTTCTGTGTATGTGTGGCGTGAGTTAGCATCGGGTGGTTGCGTGATAGAATGCTTCTGTGTATGTGTGGCGTGAGTTAGCATCGGGTGGTTGCGTGATAGAATGCTTCTGTGTATGTGTGGCGTGAGTTAGCATCGGGTGGTTGCGTGATAGAATGCTTCTGTGTATGTGTGGCGTGAGTTAGCATCGGGTGGTTGCGTGATAGAATGCTTCTGTGTATGTGTGGCGTGAGTTAGCATCGGGTGGTTGCGTGATAGAATGCTTCTGTGTATGTGTGGCGTGAGTTAGCATCGGGTGGTTGCGTGATAGAATGCTTCTGTGTATGTGTGGCGTGAGTTAGCATCGGGTGGTTGCGTGATAGAATGCTTCTGTGTATGTGTGGCGTGAGTTAGCATCGGGTGGTTGCGTGATAGAATGCTTCTGTGTATGTGTGGCGTGAGTTAGCATCGGGTGGTTGCGTGATAGAATGCTTCTGTGTATGTGTGGCGTGAGTTAGCATCGGGTGGTTGCGTGATAGAATGCTTCTGTGTATGTGTGGCGTGAGTTAGCATCGGGTGGTTGCGTGATAGAATGCTTCTGTGTATGTGTGGCGTGAGTTAGCATCGGGTGGTTTCATCACAAATTTTAACCCATCCAAATCTTATTAATTATTAAAATTCTTTTACAATTTCTGATGTATTTTTTAAAACATTTCATATGCAATATTTCTCCTTTTCTTTCCTCAAATCTTCAAATATTAATAACTTTGGATATGAAATTATTTGGATCTTTTATGAATTTTAAATGTCTTTCTTAATATCAAATCGATTAAATTATTAATATTTTCTAAATTATGCCTTAAAAATCCAAATAAAAATCGTAAATAAAAAATATATTTTTTATTTTTATTTTGTAAATAATCCGTTTACTAAATGGGACTGTATCATGAAAGTAACAAAAATCATTATTTAACAAGATTCAAAACTGGTGCAACGAAATGCACATTGATTTTGTAGTGTAACAAAGAGAGATTTATTGTAAAAAGTACAAAATAGTATATTTATTATCGTGATTAGCGTAGAAATGTATGAGTTTGGGACGGATTTCTGGTGCATTCATAACTAAAGTGATACATTGTCTGGAGCAAGTTCAGATCTTTAACTTATGGCTTGTTTGGTGCTAACTCACCCAATTTAAGTGCACTAGAGGGGATTTTGTCTGTAATGAGCATGCACCTTGAGTTGTTGCTTGGTCCGTGTACGAAAGATAGTAATTTAATACTATACTCGATTAAATGTGAATTTCTAATTTTGAATTTGCGTTTTTTCCTGAAAATAGTTACAATATATGAAAGAGTTGGCAAAACTAGAGGACACGTCTTTAAGGGTTTGGCTCGTGCTTCATGTTAATATGCCGAAACTAAAATAAACGTATATTGGGGGTCGAAATTGAGAGCTCATATCTTTAAGTGTGTAAAAATGGAAAAGTCAATTTCATCAGATAGGAATTATATGCTATGGATAGTTTAATAAGTCACTCATACTGGCGTATGAAGTGTATGCCCATTCTAATTTGTTAGATTGGTGTAAAAATATAATCGGAAGAAAGTATTCAAACTTAATGGAATTAAAAAAAGTAATAACATTAGCTTAAAGCATATAACAACAGAAAAATCAGGTGCGGATTTGATAATCGTTCAAAAAAATATGACATATTGTTTTGATCAATAGGTAAACGATTATTTATTTTGTAGTTATTATATGTTGGAGCACATCCTGAATCCAAAAATAAAAATATTAATATCCTCTCAACTAAATAATGTTAAGAAAAATTGAATTGCCCGAAAAAGCCGCCCTTTTGTAAACTCAAAAATACTAATGCATATAGCATTAAAAAAATTCTTTT